CCTTTTCACCCTATATTGCAATTCTCTGTCTGTGTCCCTCTGTAGACTGTGTGTTCTCTTTGGAAAGGACAATGTTTGTTTATTACTGTACCCCTACTGTCTTGCATAGTCTGGCACATTATGGGCACTGAATGGAGATTTGTTGAATAAATGCTCTAAAAGATGATGAGGCTTGATGATTGAATAGGACTCAGATGGGCAGAATGAAGAAAGGAGGCATTCTAGCAACTAAGAACATAGGAGCAAAGACATGATTCTTCTGGAAAGAGAGTTAGGAGGCCGATGTGAAGGACTCCCCCTATGACTACCCAAACTGCCTTTCTTCACTTCATTTCCCTGGGAGACTGTCTTTGTCTCATTAAATGAATCTGAAGACTCGGAGGAGAAGTACCACCCACCTTGAAATCCCCAGCATATCCTATGGTCTTACCCTTGAGCACCTCGTTGATATATTGATTGAAGTATTCTACTCTCAAGGAATCATCGAGGAGATTTTCACTTTCTCCTATGGGCATGCCATTACCAGCCACGTAGATTGGAACTTTTCCTCTTGTGTATTCCAAGGATACAAACTGCAACAGCCTCCTTATACCCCAAGGCACCACACGAATCCAAGGGGATGAGGTCTGGGGCCATGCAGGGTCCATGTGTTGGGAGAAGCCTCCGATGGAATCATAGCTAGGGGTGCAGGAGTCTTGTTGGGCCTTGCTGATGAGGCGAGAGGTATAATGAGACAGACCCAGAAAATCAGCAGAGCCTTTCAGGAGCTGCTTCTCTGCCTCCGTGAACTCAGGAAGCTGGGCCACAGGACTGGGGCACTGTTTGTTCATCTGTTGGATCTGGGCCCTCAGGGTGGCTGGGTAATCTCCATCCACAAATACGGGGTGTGCAAACCAGCCCAGCATGAAGTGCAAGAAGCGCTCAGAGGCTGTCAGATCCTCTGGCCTCTCTGGAGACAGGGGTTCTGCCCAGTCTGAGTTCAGCACGATGCCCACACGCCCCTGCTGCTGTGGGCGATGGTGACTGTTGTAGTGGTGCCAAGTTCTGGCATGAGCCTTGAGGACCAAGTGAGCCACCTTGTGAGGAAGACAGAAGAAATACGGTGCTTAGTAACAACAACAATGTCAGCAATACGACCAACGAGACAATAACAAGTCAACAACACAATGTGAACAATTTAACACAAATGTCACCAATATGAGCAAGTCAGTAAAGACAACACTGAAATGTTAATGTCAACAAGATCAACACTAATGTAAACAAAAACATCAAGTCATCACAAGTCAACAAGTCAATACCAATGTCAATGATGCCAGCAAGTCATCAACAACAACGTTGGTGTCGACATCATCAACACCTAAGTCAACAACATCACTGATGTCAACCTCAATACGTCACCAACAACGTCGGTAACAATGTCAGCATGTCAACACCAACATCATCAATGAAGTCAACAGGTCAACAACAAGTCAACAACAACATCTACCAAGTAACAACAACATCGGCAACCACATGAACAAGAACAACGAGCAGCTCATAACAGCAAGGTCTTGGCTTTGGATCCCTGTACTGGCGAGACACCCCAAAAAACAAAAACAAAAAAACAACTCACA